AAGCAGCGGCACCACTGAGCTAAATCCCTGGCCCATGGATTTTTTTTTTAGGGAGGGATGGTACTGAGGATTATGCCCAGGTCCTCCCATACAATAAGCACACTCTACAACTGAGCTACACTTTCAAACCCTGAATGTTTGTCTGACAGATTACCTAAAGTTTTTTTTGTTTTAACAGAGGTTATTCTGCCATCTGCCTCGCAAGCACAAGGTCCAGAGTTCAATCCCCAGTACCAAAAAACAAACAAACAAACATAGCTTAAACAACTATTTTTGTGTAACCAGTTTATTTGTTCAGTCAATATATATTTGACAGTTAAAAAAAAAATCTAGGTTTGTAATAGTAGGGACAAGCCCAGAGTTTAAAATAGAACAAATTGGGCCAGGGATTTAGCACAGTGGTGCTGCTGCCTGCCTCACAAGCACAAAGGTCCCAAGTTCAACCCCCAGTACCAAAGGGGGGGGAAGAGGGGGAGAGGGAGAGAAAAAGAAAGAATATGAGCAAAAATAACAGCCACAACTCAGGAAGCACCTAATTGGCTATTTACATCAATTATCTCATTTAATATTCACTACTACTCTAAGGGAGAGGTACCATCATCCCCGTTACATAGGTAAGGAAACTCAAGTCCAGAAAGGCCTCATCACTGGCAGAGTATCATGATGCTAGCAAGTGAAGACGGAGCTAGCACAAAGGCAGCTCTGGCTCAGACTCCCTAACAGTGGTGGAAATTCCACATTAATACAAATACATACAGTAGGGCCAGTTATCTTTCTAGATGGGTGACTGGTACTTCTCAAGTTAGAATTTAGTACTGTGAACGAACAGAGACATGAAATTGCTTCTATCCAACCCTATACCTGCACATTATCAGGAGAAGGCACTACAGTATTAGCACCTCCTTGCTGCCAGCACCAGAACAGGCGATCAATATCCACCCAAGCTGGGGCCATTACCAGTGCCCGCCCCCATCGTCCCTTCTCACCTGCACAGCCTCCCCTTGCAAAGCCACCTGCGGTGCTAAAACTAACAACCTCCTAACGAGATCCACTTCATTGCAACCAGGTAGGCCTCCAAGGGAAGGAAGACTGGGTTTTATGTTATCAGGAGAAAGAATCTGCCAGAGTGGTTTCCAGCTTGTAGGGGAACAGGTTACCCGAGTAGAGCAGCGCAACAACCTGGATTTCCGGACACCGAAGCGGGGTCTGGCGCCCCAGTCACAGTCTGTGTGACCTTGGCGGGAGCCCTCCTTCCCCCCGGGCCTCAGTTCTCTCCAGACCAGGTTGGCCTGGATGCGGGGCACTGCGGGGTCAATGACAAGTGGGTGATGGGTGACCTGTAGAAGCAGGGGGTAACCTCAAGGACCGCGGGGCCCGGGGTTGGGAACCGGTGGAGAGTTTGAGAGGCGGGAACTCCCAGAGCGACAAGACGGGTGGGGGAGGGGCCCTGACGAGGGGCCCCGGAGAAGGGTCTCCCTGGGTATAAATAAGCTAGGCCGAACGTGGGGACTTTCGGAATGGGGGAGTCGGGTCATGTGGGGGATAGGGGTCACGTGAGGCCAGAGGGGGTCGGGGTCACGTGAAGGGGGCTCGAGGAACAATGGGGGCGAAGGGGGCGAGGATAACGAAGCGCGCGCCCCAGAGGCTCCCGTCTCCTCCCTCTGCCTCACTCACCCCCATAGCGCCGGCGGCGACCCTCGGCTCCTCCTTCACACACTTGCCAGCAGGGAGGCGGCAACGGCTGCAGCACCAACGGCGGCGACACCAAAGCGGCAGACCCCCCCACACATTGCGCATGCGCCTGGCGGCTCCCCGCGCGCTCGGGTGGGCAATGCGCAGGCGCAGAGTGGAAATGAGGGGCAAGTGGGAAAAGGCGCGCAGGTGCAGCGACAGCCGGGCAGGAGAGGGTCTCCGACAAAAAAGGGGCGGGAGCGAGGCGAGCGTCGCGCTAGGAATGACGCATGGCCCAAGCCCCGCCCCGCGCGAGGCTGTATTTGTAGCTATGGTAACGGAGTTTGAGGCGCAACTCAACAAATAGCCGTGCGCCTCTGGACGAGCGGAGTGAATGGCCACCACGTCCACTGACAAGTTGTGCGCCCTCTGAAATACTCGAGCATAGAGGATGTCTTTGGAAGCGCTCCCACCTTCTAGAATTTGACTTGGAACTCCTCAACTAACCAGATTCTATTTTTCATCAGCCTTCTATCCATTCATTCTCTTTCCATTCATTTGCTTGCTCACCCAACGTTTACTGTGATGAGCCCAGGAACACGGGGAGGACCAGAAGCCATCGCAGTAAAAAGCTTTGCTCTTCAGATTTCATTTTATTTCAGTAGCCCCAAGGAATATAACCCCCACACAACCTGCCTGGGAATCAGCTGGGGAATGTCTGCTTCTGGGAAGCACCCCAGGACTACCCCAGAATCTCCAGAGAAAGCCACTGCCTTCTCTTTTTGAGTGCTCCTCAGCCAGGGACATACACGTGAAAATTAGCTGCTAATTTCAAGACGAGCTTCACAGATTTTGTCAGATTTTTATCATTTATTTTTATTTTTGGTACTGAGGATCAAACTCAGGACCTTGCCTTGTGCTTTCGAGGCAGGTGGAAGCACCACTGAGCTAAATCCCCAGTCCATGCTTATTTTTTTTTTAAGACAGGGTCTCTGTGTAGTCCAGGCTGTCCTTGAACTCATTGTATAGTACAGGCTGGCCTCCAATTCATGGCGATCCTCCTGCTTCAGCCTCCTGAGCACTGGGATTACAGGTGTACACCACCATGCTCACCTAATTTGCATGCTTAAAGAACTGCAAGTGAATCTTGTGTGTTGGCACACTCCTATAATTTCAGTACTCTGGGAGGCTGAGGCAGGAGGGTTGCAAATTCCACTCCAGCCTGGGACACTTAATGACTTCCTGTCTCAAAACAAGATGATCCGGTCGTGGTGGCGCAAGCCTGTAATCCCAGCACTCGCGAGGCTGAGGCAGAAGGATCGCTGCGAGTTTGAGACCAGCCTGAGCTACATAGTTCCAGGTCAGTCTCAACTACACGGTGAGACCCTGCCTCAAAAAACAAACAAACAAACAAAACAAGGTGAGTTTTGTTTTGTTTTGTTTTGTTTTTTGAGACAGGGTCTCACTATGTTGTTGAGACTGACCTGGAACTCACTGTGTTGCCCAGGCTGGTCTCTAACTCACAGCGATCCTCCTGCCTCAGCCTTCGAGTGCTGGAATTACAGGCGTGCGCCACCACACCCCCAGCTCCAGGTGATATTTTTTAAAGGATGAGAATGTAGCTCATTGCCAAAATCCTGAACTCAATCCCTGGGAAAGAGAGAGAGGAGAAGGAGAAAGAGGAGAAAAAGAGTCTGGGGCAGGCTGGGTGAGCAGGAAATGGAAGGAGATGGCATTGGATGGGCAAGAAGAGGATGGTTTACAGCTTCAGGTTTTGAAAGACTTTGGGACCTACGGTGAATGAGGGCACTGTACGAAGGTTTGGGTGGAGGAGAGACACAGCTCGTTTTACCCACGCGGAGGCTGCTGGGCTGCAGGTGTGAGATGACTGCGGGGCGAGGCCGCAAAAGCCAGTGGAGTCTGGGTGAGAGGCAAGGCCCGGTGCTTGATGGCAGCAAAGGAGCAGTTCTCAGGACTCAATGCGTTTTGAAGGTAGAGCCGTTAGGACTTGCCACTAGGTTGGTGCGGAGTAGTGTTGGTGAACCCGTGGTACGCGGCCTGTTTGTATCATTGAAAGCTCTAAAAGGTTCGCCATCATTAGTGTGGGGTGTAAAGGAAAGACAACACTCAGTACCTTTGAGGCTTTTAGCTTGAGCTGCTGGAAAAATGGAGCGGGTTGGACTAATATTTCGATGCTTTGGAAGGGAGTGATTTGGGAGTGATATAGGAGTGGGGCAGAGAGGATTAGGAATTGGTTTTGCAGTGTTAGGTTTGAGATGCCTTTTCGTTTTGTTTTGTTTTTGAGACAAGGTCTTACTATGTAACCAAGGCCAGACCTGAACTCACTATGTAGCTGGCCTCAAACTTGCAGTCCTCCTGGCCTCAGCCTCCCAACTGGTGTGTGGCACCATAGTGCCAATTTTGTGTGTGTGTGTGTGTGTGTGTGTGTGTGTATTAAATCCAGGTCCTGGCATGTATGCTGCAAGCACACTATCACTATCGCTGAGCTGTATTTTGTTTGTTTATTTTTTGGTATGGAGATCAAACTCGGAACCTTGCACTTTCAAGGTAGGCAGCAGCACTACTGAGCTAAATCCCTGGCCCTGGGCTGTTTTTGTTGTTGTTGTTGTTTTGGAGTTTTTTTTGTGATTGTTGTTTTATTTGATTTTGTTTTTTTGGAACAGGGTCTTGCTATGTACTTCAGGCTGGCATTGAACTCACTATGTAGCCCAGACTGGCCTCAAACTCTTGGTCACCCTCCTGCCTCATCCTCCCGAGGGCTAAGGTTATAGGCATGCACCACCATGCCCTTTAAAAAATTTTTTTGGGGGGACAGAGTCTTGCTAAATTTCCCAGGCTTTCTAGGCATGGTAATACACCCCCATACTTTCAGCACTTGGGAGGCTGAGGCAGAAGGATCACCATGAGTTTGAGGCCAGCCTGGACTACACAGTGACTTAAATGCTAGCTTGAGTTACATAGTGAGACACTATCTCAAAAAACCAAAAATAAAAAATAAATAAATGACCCAGGCTGTCCTCAAACTTGTGATCCTCTAGAATAGCTGCAATAGCAGATATAAAGCATCACACCTGGCTTAAGGTGTCGTTTGTTTATTTATTTAGAGACAGAGCCTTGCCACGTAGTCCAGACTGAAACTCATGATCCTACCTGCCTCAACCTCCTATGTGTGCTGGATTAACAAACTCCTAGCTCAAAATGTCCTTATTTTTAAGTTTATTGCCATCCTGTCTCAGCCTCCAGAGTACTGGGATGACAGGCATGCACCACCACACCCAGCAATGAATAGTATTTAAAATTATGTAATTAAGCAAGGCATGGTGGCACATACCTGTAATCCCAGCACTGGGGAGGCTGAGTTCAAGTCCAACCTGAGCTCCATATTGAATTCAAGGTCTGCTCAAACTACATAGCCAGATGCTGTCTCAAATGAAACAAACAAACGAAAAAGTAATGAGCTGGGGGTGCTGGCGCATGCCTGTAATCCCAGGACTTGTGAGGCTGAGGCAGGAGGATCACCTCCAGTTGGAGGCCGGCCTGGGCTACATGATAGGCTCAAGGCCAGCCTGAAGTACATAGGGAGAATTTGTCTCAAAAAAATAGGGAGGGCAGGGGTATGGGGAAAATATGAGAACCAAGACCTGTCATGTAAAGGCACAAGATCCAAATGATGAATGTACCGGTATTGTATACTTAAAAAATACCAATAAACTCAGTAAAAAAGAAAACAACACGAGCAGAAGTCATGAGCCTGGATGAGCCTGAAAGGAATGTAGGTGGATACAAATGAATGAACGGATTCAGGGCCTGTCCAGAGGTCGGAAATCTGTTACAGTTGCGCCCAGGAGCGGGAGCTAAGGGTGGGGGGAGGGCGTCCTGGGTGGGGAGAGGTGACATTGGAGCTTGCCCTTGAAGAGAAGAAGGAGGCAAGAGATTTCAAGAACAGAACAGTATTTACAGATCAGAGAAGCGGAAGGGACAGGATAAGGGGAGAAGTGAGGCCCCTGAAGTCACCACCTAGTCTGGCCTCTCCAGTCTCCTCGCCTGCAGGGATCCTTACAGTTAGCTGTTTCGGTGCAGGTGACAGCCACTGCACTACCCTGTGCCCTGTCCCTCCTACCACTCCCCACCCTTGTTTGACCTTCCCCCCGACTGCTGGGATTTTCCTGTGGTGCTGGGCAGGCCCTGTGCCAATGAGCTACATCTCGGCTTTGCTATAACTGCTAGAGACCAGACAAGCCCTTGGGCTGAGCCCAGCAGTTCCTTGGGGAGATGGCATCGTGTACTGTCTCCGTGCCAGCCTACAAAGAACCAGTGCCTGATTCCTGTCCGTAAGGCAGCATCGTTCTCCTGGGGGCTGCTGGGAGTGTGGGCTCTTCCCTGCCCTGGGCTTCCTCGGTCTTATAGGGTGCTAGCAGAGCCTGTCTTGGAATCAGACCCGCTGGAGAACACTTTAATGAGTAGCATTCTCTGCTACTCATTGACTTTGTGACTTTAGGCAAGGTGTTCAATTTCTGCCTGCCTGTATGTCTGTCTCTTTGTCTCTTGGTTTTTTTGGGGTTTTTTTGGTTTTTTGAGACAGGGTCTCACTGTGTAGTTGAGAGTGACCTGGAACTCACTATGTAGCCCAGGCTGGTCTGGAACTCAAAGTTATCCTCCTGCCTCATCTTCCCAAGTGCTGGGATTATAGGTGTGCGCCACCACGCCCGGCTGTGTCTTGCATTTTTTTTTTTATTGAGGCAGGGTCTTGCCACTCAGCTCAGACTGGCCGTGAATGTGTAATCCTCCTGCCTTACCCTCCCTCGTACTGGGATTACAGGCGTGTGCCAACAAACCTGCCTTACTAGTGTTCAACATCTCTAAGGCTCCATTTCTTTGTTGGGAGCAAGTCTACATAATTTTGGGGAAAAATAATTTCACAATTGAATCCTTATTAGGCGTAGTTCTCCTGCCTACAGGCCAGCTATGGCATTTCCAGACAGCTCCACTTTGGCCTCCGGTCACAGCTAAAACCTCAATGGTCTGGTGACATTGTGATGCTACAGGACAAGATCACACAGCTGAAGACCTCCAGGAGGAATAAAATCTTCATCTGCGTAGTTCATTGCTAGAGGATTTTCATTGCTGCCACCACCACTGCCACCTGAGTGACCTTTTACATTTGTTACTCTTGTCACTGGGGATTTAGCTCAGTGGTTCTGCTGCCTGCCTTGCAAGCACAAGGACCCGAGTTCGATTCCCACTACCAAAATATATATATATATATATATATGTTTGTTACTCTCCTGTTGTACTGAACTCTCTGGCCTGAGACACCCATTACATTTATTTCTCCTGATGGACCCAATAAAGGTGTGGCAGGCCCAAAGCTCAGCTTCTCTAAGTCTCATTTTTTCTATCTTTTCTGACTAATAAACTAATTTGCCTTGTGCTGTCCTGGCTCACAGGAAACTAGGACTTTCTGCAGGGGTTCTAATAACATTCCCTTTCCCTGTACCCTTTATTTTCTTTTTTTGGGGGGGAGTGCTACTGGGGACCAAACTCGGGACCTTGTGCTTTCGAGGCAAGCAGCAGAACCACTGACCTGAATCCCCAGCCCTCCATTTCTTTACTTATGAGTCCACCAAAAGCAATCTGTGACCGGGCATGGTAGCACACGGGAAGGCTGAGGCAGGAGGATCACTGAGAGATCAAAGCCATCCTGGGCTACATAGTGAGTTCACAGCCAGCCTGAACTACATAGGAAGACCTCTGTCTCGATAAATAAATAAATAAATAAAATTTAAAAGGCTGGGGACAGCTGGGCACACCTGTAATCCCAGCA